CAGCCAGCTCGAGTAGATCGTCCACAAAATGGGTGCCAATCCACATCCTTGTCGCAAGCCACGGCCCATAGACAGAAGGGCCTGGCAATCGCTGTGTTCCAATCGGACCTGGGCCTGCTGATGGATGAGCAGGATCAGTTCGATGAGACACTCCGGTACTTCTGCCTCCCGTAGTGCAAGGACTAGGTCGCTCCACGGCACCCTGTCATACGCTTTAGATATATCAAGCGAGAGGTGAACTCCCCCACACACCTGTGCCGCACGTCTCCCAGCTCGTCTGGCGTGGAGGTTGGTCGCCTGGTCTCCCAGCAGCTTTCTCACCACTGCACAGTGGCTGGCCACGCGCTCAAGCGCCATGCTAAGAGACCTGCCCCCGACATACGCAAACTGAGGCACAGCCTGAAGGTAGTTCACCGCGTAGGGCTGCAGTCTGGCCGCAATCATCGCTCCCAAGACTTTGGCCTGTAGCGAGAGCAGGTTGATTGGTCGCAGTTGGTCCGGAGAGCACAGACTCTTGCCCGGTTTCGGGAGAAGGATGAGCTCAGATACATTAAAGCTGGCCGGCAGTGTGCTGGTGCCTTTGGTCAGGTAGTGGTTGATCTGTTGCTGCAGGGCTGGCACGACCTGAACCATCGCAGTTTTCCACAATACCGCATGAGCACTTGTGGTGGGCATGGCCTTCCCCGCCGCAAGGCGTCCAAGAGCCCGCTTGACCTCCTCTTCCGTGAAGGATATGTCCTCCGGTAGCATTATGACCGTGCATGGCGGACCCGAAAAAAGAGACATGAAGTAGTCCCTGATCTGCTTGAATTCTGCCTCCCGAGACTGAATGCGGCCCTCCTCGGATCGAAGTTGTAGTCGTCGTCTCGCCTGTTTGGGGGCAAATTTCTTCGCAGCTTGATGGATATTGTCTGCTTGCACGGCCTCCAGGATTCGTAGGGTCTTCCTTCTCCTGCATTCTTTGCGAAGTTTGCGAGTGACTGCCTGGAGTCTTGCCGTAGTCACCCACGCCTTCCACAGAGTGCCAAGTGGAGGGGCTTCCTCCGGATCCCTAGGGTGACCTGTCAGGGCCCGTAGCTCAGCTCTAATCCGCCACATTGAGGTGATCGCGTCACGGACAATCAGCTGCTGAGTCTGTGTCGCTGAGTCCAGGCCACCCTCTTTCGAGGGGCCATGTCCAGGCTGTTGGGCCTGGGCCCATCCTTGTTGCAGGATCCGGTCGGGGCCACAAGCTGAAGGTAGTTGTCCTTTTTCTGGATGTCGGCCATCGCTTTCTGGACCTGCGCGGGTCTTTGTCGGATGTGGGTGTCCTTGGGCTTGGTGGGCAGCCTGGGCATGGGGATCGACGCATGGATCGGTCAATGTCGACAGCCGCTGCAGGGCTCGAACGGTGCCGAGACAGGGCAGGCTCTCCTTGCTACAGCATCAGCCAGGTCATCTCTGGCGATCACAAAATCGATCTGTGTGCCAGTCTGAGCACCCTGCTCCCCCGGAGGGATATAGGTGCGTTGCATCAGTCCTGTGCCCGTCCAAGTGTTCAGCAGGCAGCAGCGATGGAGTCGGAGCAGGTCCTGGAACGCTTCCTGGTCCTTCTGCTGGACCTGTTGTGTCACCACTCCTGGCCCACATATGTCAGGTTCTTCAACGGCCGGAGTGTTCAGGTCCCCAGCAATAAGACAGCCGTGCCTTTTCGGCACAGTCCGGAGCCACTGCTCCGTCAGCTTCCAGACCTTTTGCCTTTGCTTGACCAAAGCCGTCACTTTGTGGCCCTCCACGGATGCTTTGCTCGGGTTCCATGAGTACTGGTATATACCCAAGATGTCAAGCGGTGCCTCGAAGTGCAGCCTCACGTGGAGCATGCGACCTGGTAAACAGCTGACGTGACGGATTTCCGACCCGGGGAGCATGCCCTTCCTGAGTAGGCACATGATTCCAGTCCGGTCTGGCCCTGCTGAGTGGATCACATGGTAGCTGATGTGGCTGTGATTCGTTGGCGTGGCCACATACTCCATGTCCTGTTTCCAGCATGTTTCCTGCAGGAACAGTACGTCCACAGGGTGGCCTTTGTCCGTCTCCGCAGCGAGCCATTCCAAGATCTCGGCGTACTTGGTGGTGCTAAGTCCTCCCGAGTTCCAGGTCATAACTCTGAGTCTCCGATTGGCTCTGCTGTTTGGATCTGGCCTCGGTTTGCTCCTGGGGACCGTTCTGGGATCACCTGAGGAGAGTTGGCTGAAGTGCAATTGTTGCCCTCGGTACCATGTTAGCCCCGAGGGGTTCCGTATAGCTCTGTGGTACGCTCTACGAAGCGCTCTCTTCCTGATCTCTCCTGGGGGGTGAACCTGGGCTGGATGGCGGCTAACACCATGCTTCGCCCAATCGTGGTCAATCGTGACCTGAGATGTGGCTTCTTGGTTCCAGTGGTGCTCTGGGAACCAAACCCTCGCATCTGTCGTTGCATGCATGGCTTTGGTGGTGTGGATCATGGTATAGAACAGGAGAACAACGCGCATCGAAAAAGTGTTCCCTCTCATGCAACGACCCCAGGACTTGGGACCTGGGCGGCTCAATGGTGAACTGAGAATACGACCAAGAGGGAGGCATTCTGCAGGCAGTGTAGCTCTGGTGGTAGGCCTTGGAGGGCAGGTGCCCATGTGGTTGTGTAGCAGGCATTTCACTTGAGTCGCAACGGCCGTGCAGAAGCTTGGCAGGATCCCTTCGTCAGGTCTGAGCGTGACACCCGCCATGATGGCTAGGAGCAGCATATAGCAGACCTGGATTGTCAGGTGATACACAGGCAGGAAGAATCGTGATAAGGCCCTTGCCATACTCCTCCAGGGGGTCCTGGTTCCGTACCTCCCAAGCCAAAGATCTACCCCAGCAGCTGGACCGTGTACCAAGTTCATGCACAGGCGCAGTAAGGTCGCTCCACACTTTGTTTTGACACCCATGATAGTCCAGAGGCTCGCGAGAGACAGGCTAGCCTGAGGACCCCTTTGATCGAGGCCCATTTGCTCTGTGCAACGCCCTCGACTAAGAGTCCTGAAAAGCTCCCTGGAGCACTGCCCAATCAGGTTACGTGCTGTCTTCATGTCGGCGCCTGAGAGGTCATGGTGATGGAGGGAAATTCTGCTTCGGGTTCCAAGGCTGTGAGAATTATACGGCAGCCCAAGGTTAGTCTCACCCATCAGCAAATGAGGCTGCGACTTCCGATTGGCCTTCGGCTTTGGCGTCGGAGGGGGTACTGTGTCGCCGGTCTCCCTTCTCCCACGCCTGGAGCTCTGGCTTCCTGTGTTGGGCCTTGTCGGCGGAGGGTCGCTCGATCCCGACGCCATCATTGTCCCACCTGAAGAGCCCGTGCCCTCAGCCTCGGCCTCCTCTCCCAGTAGCTCCGTGAGCGTGCCATCCGCCCAGAGCTCCGCCGTGATCTCCTCCGCGTGCTCTCTGGAGATGAGGCCACTTCCGCCGCCTGCATACCTGGATCTGCGCACCGCCTCGCCCATGACGGTGGGGCTGACCGTGCCGTCCTCATCCGTAGGGCTGCCTGTCCACAGTGCCAGCTCATCGCCCGCCTCGTTTGCAGCCATTCGCCTTATGTTGGCTGTGAGCATTGGCACTCTGGTGTCCGGCGCCACGATCTCAGAGGAGAGGCGTGTGAGGATGACTTCAGTAGGATAGCCTCTGCTCAGGAGCGTGTCCGCAATGGCCGCTGACAGCATGTAGGAGAGCTGTCGGTCTTCAGCCGCTGGTCCAGTCGTCATTCCCCCATCGTCCTCGCGAGGGCCATTGTTGCCCCATCGTAGGAGGTTTGGGTGGCTGTGATCTGCTCCTCTCATGGGTTCCAGGGTTATCCTGAGGGACGTCATGGTCTCGTGGCCCCAGGGAGCATGGCAGACTATCGGTCCTGCAAAGCCCGGGAGCTCTCTCGCGACTGCTCTGGCCACTCGATGTGCAAAGGCCTGCTCCATTTGCACTGGCCTGGGAGGCGGTGGACCCGCCGGTGGTCGATTCGGCGGCAGTGGAGGCATGTTGGGGCTTTCGACCCACACCTCTTCCATCTCTTCCGACGAGTCAGCCATGAAGGAGATCCTGCGATGGGTCCTGAATGTCCCTCCTCTCTGAGCCGCAGGGCTGTGAGGCAGAATGTGTTTCACAAGGCAAGCCCCCAGTCTGGCGATCAGTACCCATGCTATCCGACAGGGGTTTCCGAAACAAGCATGTCGAGGTGTGCAGGGGCACTGGATACTCTTCGAAGGAGGGGCTTGGTGTGCCACTGGTGCCTGCGATGCAAACATGCCCGTCACATAAATCCCCGCTCCAGCACATATGCATAGACCAATTGTTGGAATCATGAACGCTCTCAGTGCCTGCTCGGTTCCCGGCGGGTGTCCCTGCCAGCTGCGTGCTTGGAGCCGGAAAGCTCCTTTCAGGGTCCTCCTGAGGTTCAGATCTGAACCCGACCGTCCTTTACAGGCATCTTCAGTCCAAGGTCTGCAGATCAGGGTCATGACAAAGATACACGCAGTGCAGCAGTGCCAGAGCGAATGGCTTGTCAAACTGTAGAGTGCACTCAAGCAGTAGGAGCCGGCCGTCCCCATTAAGGAGCTGCCAGCCCTCATGCCACACCTGAAAAGCTCCAGCATATTTCCATTGAAGATCCAGGCGGTGCTGCTTGTGACGCAGTGTATTGAGCGAAAGGCGGCTCCACTGTTTGCTAAGAGCACCCAGCACCAGGTAGCGTACGTAGTTACCAAGTCTATCACCGAACGGTAATCGCCCTTGCAGCTTCGGGATTTTGTTGCTGCCATGTACCGCCACTTCTTCCATCGCTTTGGCATCTGTGCCCTCCATGGCCGCATGCGGCTACCTCAGCCTGCAGAGACCGCCCTGGTCTCTGTTGCTCACGTCTAAGCCGAGATGCTTACCTATATGTACATACCTACATACATACATGCGTGCATACATACATGCATATATGCACAGAAAGAACAGGGCCGAGTTGCCGTGGGAGCGCTGGTCGCACCGATGTTCTCGGCAAACCAGTTCACCTACGGGTACTAGGAAGGGGTTGTGTCAAATGTCCTACTGTCTGCCCGCGATGCATGTTTTGGAAGGGCCACAGCCCGGGGGCAAGCGCAGCAGGGGCACGACCAGCAACAACTTGGACAAGATTCCACACTCTATGAGGCTTAAGATGTAGGGCTTGGGGTCTGCCGTTCGGGGTTCAAGCTTAGAGGATTTTGGCTTAGGGCTTGGAGTTTAGGAAGGTGGGCGTTCAAGGTATGAGGTTGAGGGACCAAGCCACCTGGTCAGTAGCATTTAAGTTAGGTTAGAATCAGGAGAACACCAATTGGGATACTGCGAACCCCATATCACACCTATAGAACCCGCATGTAACTCGCTTGGAACCTTAGGATACCCTGACAGAGCCCTTATTGAACCATCATTAAAACCATTATCTGCAAGTGGCCAGACTCTCACGGTTCAAGACCCCTTGCGTTTGGACGCTGTGGGGCTAGTACAATAAGAAATCTTGTCAGGAATTAGAGGTGAGGATTGTAGGGTTCGGGGTTAAGGATTTAGGGTGTAGGGTTTGTGATTTCAGGTTTAGGGTTCTGCGCTGCTTCGGGCTTCATGCAGGGGGGGGGGGGGGGGCTATGGACTTACTGGGGCGTTGGTCGATGGGATTTCGGCACCGCGCCCGACGTCCGATGAACTTGACCCTGCACGTAAAGCCTTAAGCCTCCCTGAGCCCTAACCCCCACACCCCAAGCCCGAGAGAACACCCCAAGCCATTTCGATTAAAACATCAATCGATGCAAAAATCCCGGTAACATAGGAGCGTTGATGTGTTCAATTAGCTCTTTTGAGGGATAACATGCGAAAATCCACATCGGGACGGTACGGAAAAACCACTATATACCGTCTATTCAGACCACTATAGTTGACCCCATATCCGATCCCAACATCCATAGTTCAGCCCTACAGAGCGCAAGCCATGTTGAAGCAGCTTCGTCCCCGCCTCTACGCCGACGACCACCGCACAGGTCACGCCTTAGTTCGAAGGCTCGCAGTACCAGAGTATATGGTTTTACTTAAGAAGGAGTTTGCGGGTTTCAAGTTTGGAACTAGGGTCGAGGGTACAATGGGCCACAATGCTGCATTGCTACATCGAACAAAGCTCACAATAAGGTGCTAAAAGTACCCCAGGATTTGATCTGCAACAACAGACAGGACCTCCGGAAATCTAAAGCTCTGTCAGCTGTCTAAGGTTCGAGTGGGCTGTTCTTGCAGGGCGCGTCTGAAAAAAACACTGACGGCGAAACTAACCGGCACCGCTATGATTGGAACAGGGTTTGGGGGTATAGTATACTATAATCATAAGAAGGAAAACCCAAAATAGCATTGGTAACTATTAAGGCTTTGAGTCCGCCTAGTTGGAAACAGTCATAGCGGTGCGGGACCGAATGACCGATGCTGCCGCGCAGATGGCCACAGTACAATCTTGCAAGGCAATCGAGCGATAGTTCTGCGGGAGTGCCGCCGGGCCTTTTTTTCATATGGGTGGTTGTCAAAACTATGGTCCCTTTTTGGGTACCCTGAATATTAGGTGCCGTACTATAGTAAGGACCCAGTGCGCATATACTCGCGAGCTTTGAAGTGTGCGGGCTGACGCCCAGATAAGACGAAGCGCGTACACAGTTGCCAGCACCAGGCCCCTGCCTCAGCGGGGTAATGTCGCCATAAGTCATTGAGGATCTGGTCAGGCCCTGAGGCCTTACTTGGAGTATCATGGGACTTCGTAAGTAGGGTTATAAGTACCCTAATTGGGGTTATAAGTAATTATAAGTATAGTTACCCTAATTATAACCCTAGTTACTAAGTCCCATGACCCTTTAAGTACCGCCTTGTTGTTTGCGGCCTGCCGCCTCCATCTGTAGGAGGGTCGGGACGGCATGAACACAGCCAGCAGCTGGCTGGGTCATCCAACGGCGCTGAAGATCACGAAGCTGTCCCTGAGTGACAAGCCGTCGGCCCTCCTGGTCGTGAAGCTGCTTTTCGAGGGCTTCCTCAATCTCAAAACAGGTTGTCCTGGAACTCAGCAGAAAGGCTGCTCAAAGAGGGCATGCAAACAACTTGGAGGCCATCCAAAGCATCGAGCTCTTGCGACTTCACATCTGCAGACCAGAAATAGCGAACTGTCTGGTTGTACATCGTACAACTGTCACTTTTGCTGATAAACCATCAGCACTCAGAGACTTGGACTAAACACCCCCCTTAGAACCATAATAACAGTAATATTCTCAATATTCTCTTGGGTCTTTCATGAACAAAAATTAAAAAAAAACAGTTCCTAAGGAGACTATAGTAAAACCCCCTAGAGCCGATACGAAACTCTCACAGAACCACGCCTAAGCCCCTATGAACCCTACAAATTCCGTTCAACACTGGTAAACCCTAAATCTGAAGCCCTATTCCAGAAACCCGAATCAAGTCGGAAACTGTTTTGGGCTTAGGTATAGGGTTTAGGGTGTAGGGTTCAGGGTTTTAGGGTTTAGGGTTTTGGGTTTAGGGTTTAGGGTTTAGGGTTTAGGGTTAAGGGTTCAGGATTTAGGGCTTAAGGTTTCGGGTCTAGGATTTGGCGCTTGCGGTGTACTCTACACCTCAAATCCTCGAACCACAATGTCTTTCAGTCTTCAGCAGGGCTCAGGGTCAGTCAGAAGGTAAGCAATGAAAGATCCCTCCAGAAGAAGAAAACATCCGGAAACAAAAAAAGATGTTCAGCACAGACAACGAAGACAACTCTAAAGAGACGGGCTAGTCAAGTTTACACAAAAGCCTTAATTCTATATAGACATCTACAATCCTTTACGAACCTTATAAGCTATACAACCCTGTAGGTTAAGGTATCCGTAAACCTAAAACCTCAACCCCTAGCCACGAGACTCCAAAACCCCTTACTTAAGGAATATACCTCAAATCATACCTATTCCTCCAACCTATAACCCTATAGATCCTATAACCCTATAGATCCCTTAGAGGAAACCCTTAAGCGGTAGACTTCTAGACTTACTTACCCAATAAGCCACAGAAACAAAGCTTAAACTTTCCGGTTCCTACTGAACTCGAAGAGCCTGTTTAAAGGCTGGGTACTGGGGATCTGAACCTTTCACGGGATCCTCTATGAGCTAAGGCAGTGTCCTTAGTTCACGGCCCTAAACCCTAAACCCTAAACCCTAAACCCTAAACCCTAAACCCTAAACCCTAAACCCTAAACCCCTAAACCTTAACCTGAACCTCACGTCAAACCCCAAAGACCCTCTAAATCCTCAGAATGCCCCCGAAAACCTAAACTCTAAACCTCAACCAAACCCGAAGGAACCCGTGAGAGGAGCCCTTCATAACCCTAAACCCTACAGTAGAAGCCAGAAAGTTGGAATATGATTATCCTAAACCCTTTATGGTAAATTATAGGGTATCCTACCCTGAAACCATATTCCAACTTTCTGGAGTTCCCTTTAAACCCTTAAAAGCACACCTTTCGCTTAGCTGCTCAAGACCATCATGATGATCTCGAAGTAGGGGGTCTGCAGGAAGTGCTCCATCTTACCCTGGTTCAGGGTAAAGGGCTTAAGGTTCAGGGCGAAGGGCCTGAGGTTGAGGGTTTAGGGTTTAAGGTTCAGGGTTCAGGGCTTAAGGTTCAGGGTTCAGGGTTTAAGGTTCAGGGTTTAGTTTAGAGTTTAAGGTTCAGGGCTTAAGGTTCAGAGTCAAGGGCGTAAGGTTCAGGGCTTTAGGTTTCGGGTTTAAGGCTCAGGGTTCAGGGTGCAGGGTTTAGGGTTTAAGACTCAGGATTTAAGGTTCAAGGTTCAGGACTTAAGGTTTAAGGTTTTGGGTTTAGGGCGTAGAAAGGATTAGGGCATAAGACCCTATACAACAAGCGAAGAAAGCCCTTCCTCGGCTCTTACAGAACTTTTCTAGAAGCCCCTTCTTGCCACTCAGGGCATTGGGGTCATGGAAAGTCAAGGGCATCCTTGGAGGGTCGGGGGACTTAGGAAGTAATGTTGTAGACTTATACTTACTCCCCCAATAAGCCACAAAAATGAAAGGTTACACTTTCCGATTCGTACTAAACTCTAAGAACCCAAAAAGGTTTAAAGGTTGGGCATTCGGGATCTAAGTATAAGCATAACCCCGATCTACGTATTATCTACTTACTAAATACCCCGACCCTCCAAGTAGAATCATCAAGTAGATGCGATTTCAGATAGAGCCTTAGGATTCGGGGCTTTCGAGGGTTCGACAGGGGATTCTAGACGGGTTCTCCAAGGGTTGTTGGGGCTTTAGGGGTTCACCAGGGTTGTTAAAGTTGAGGGCTTTAGGGATGTGGGTCGAGAGTTCTGCGGCTTACATTTTAGACCCTGCCGATTGCTACCCACGCACCTTCCAGCGTCACTAGACCGTCTTCCCCACACCAAACCCTAAACCCTAAACCCGAAGCCCTAAACCCTAGACCCTAAGCCTGAAGCCCTAAACCCTAAGCCCCACCCACCCACCCAAAAGGTGCCTTCCAGCTATCGTCAAACTTCGAACCGCGCCGCCTTGAGTTCGAATTTTCGAGTTCAGGGTTTGGAGTTTAGGATGGAGGGGTTGGGGTTTAAGGTTTCAGGCTGTAGCGCATTGTTTAAGGTTTAGGGTCTAGTGTTTCGGGTAGGGCTCGGGGGAAGATTGAGGGTTTATTCTTCAAGGTTTAGTGCTTGGGGCGCAGGGCTTGGGGTTTAGAGCTTAGGGTTTAAGGTTTAGGGCTGCTGCTTAGGTTTACAGTTCAGTTTAGGGCCTGTTTGAAGATGGAGGTACACACGTACTGCTGGCGGAACTCTTCACTGCCCGCAGCTCTTTGTATATACTTTGCTGTGGACGATGCAGGAGTTGGAAGTAGTGAGAATGCTTATCAGCCAGTCAGTGCCTAAACAGATATGACGACGGTCCTCCTGTAAATGCCCCCCCAACCGGAGCGGCATGCGTATTCGCAGCGTGCGGCGCAAAGCCAGTCTCCGCGATGATTGCGGTATGCTGGGCGGCGCTCGCCGTTAGGCGATGTGTACCACTTCACAGTGCAGTGCAAAAGCGGTGAAACTTGAACTCCAGCAGGGCGGGGCTCGGTGTGGGCCCTTCCCCCATGCAGGGCCTTTGCCCCATTCGGGGCCCTTGCCAAAGTGCGGTGCAGGGCTGTAGTGCGGTGCCTGCTGGAAGCCATGCGGTGCGGCACTCGGTGCAGCAGTCGACGAGCCCCAGAACCTCCAGTCATACTTAAACCCCACATGACCTACTTGTTTACGGACTTTTGTAAGGAAATCATGTTAAGGAACCCTAAAACGGTAGGTTTCTTAGGGTCTCGTCATATGCCCTGAAGAAGGGATCGGTCATCTCGGAACCCTCAGCCCACCATCCCAAGACCCAGGCCTCGAAAGCCCTAAAACAAGCGGGAGGAATAGGGCTTCTTGGTGAGCTGGGGTACTTGGAGGATCGTGGGACTTAGTAAGTAGGGTTATAAGTACCCTAATTGGGCTCTTATAAGTAATTATAAGTATAGTTACCCTAATTATCACCCTAGTTACTAAGTCCCATGACCCTTTAAGTACCTGCCATACTGTACTTTAGAACCTTGAAACTAGCTTACCACTTATGCCGGTCCAACAGTCGGCACAAATTTTTTACAAGCACTCAAGCCTGAAGGCGTGGCATAGTATTGGGGCCTTAGTAGAATTAGCACCCCCCGAAATAGTAGTTGCAATTATTTAGGCCCTTTTATATATATATATATATATACATATATAGATTAACCCCTAAAGCCGAACACCTGACCCACACCCAGGAACCCGAAAGACAAGATAAGGAATTAGACTAAATCCTGACGGCCAAAGATTTTTCAGCGTTCCCAAAAAGCAATCAAAAAATCAAACAACACCATATGTTTGAGGCCGTGCACCTGGGAAGTCTTCACTCAACATGCCGTGTCTGTGTAAGTGTGCGCATGTAAAAGTGTGTTCACCATAAGGTATCTACATCTTGGTCATATCTACTTATATTCTATAGCACGTAAGTTTACTGCGGCTTGAGGCGTTAATGCTCATTCTAGTATGCATGCTCTGCAAAAAGTCTAAGAACCTGATACATATAAGGCCCTTACCAAACCCTTCTGAAGCCCCTATAAACCCTATATCAAATCCTTATAACGCTCGTATAGAACCCTATAAAGTCCCCCTACCAAACCCCTGTAAAGTGCTTGTAAACTCTTTATCAAACCCCCTTCTAAGCTCTTTACCAAACCCTTGTAAAGACCCTTACGAAACCTCTATAAAGCCTTAAACCCTAAACCCTTTATCAAACCTCGCCGAAACCCCTATAAACCCTTTATCAAACCTCTCCGGAACCCTTATAAACTCTTTCTCGAACCCTACACCCTGAAAACCTAAACCCCTGTATCAAACCCTTATAAACTCTTATAAACTCTTTACCAAACCTCTACGACACCTGGGACCGAGAGGATGCCTTGTCTTTGCCATCTCGCGCCTCATTCGCTCGAGGTAGGCGGCCTGGAATGGAACCCCGGTGGGGCTTTAGAGTGCTAGATTAGGGTGTAGGGTTTAGGGTTTTGGATCTAAGATTCAGGGTTTAGGGTTTAGGTTCTAAGATTTGGGGTTTGGGGTATGGGGCTTAGGGTTATAGGTTAGGGTCTGGTGTTTAGGGTTTAGGATCTAAGACTTAGGGTTCAGGGTTAGGGTCTCAGATTTGGGGTTCGGGGTTTTAACATGGTGTTTTAGGATTTGGGGTGTCAGGCTTTAGGGCTTCAGCAACCAGAATCCACTCATCTATATGGCTAGGGGTTTATGGTTTAGGGTTTAGGGTTTAGGGTTTAGGGTTTAGGGTTTAGGGTATGGTCCTTAATAAATTTGTATTCGGACCGTACAACCAAGTCGGACATGCTAGGTCGAGCCAGAACCTGGGTTTAGGCTTGAGGTTCAACTAGGTTCCTGAGTGGCCACTTACTAATAAGAGGACCCTTTTTTCCTAATACTCAGTTTCTTACTCCCCAAGAAGCCACAGAAATCAAAGGTTAAACTTTCCGATTCCTACTAAACTATAAGAACCCAAACAGTTTAAAGGTTGGGTATTGGGGATGTAAGGTTTGAAGTCGGAGACCCCAAACTTAAAAAGTGCAAAAGGGTACGACTCCGGAACCCAGTCACGGACCAGGGTTGAACTTGTGTGAGCTCACTCTCAAGAAACAAGGATGAAGGTTTAGGATTTAGGGTTTAAGGTTCAGGGAGTTGGCTTCAGGTTTAGGGGCTCAGGGTTTGGGTTTCGGGATTTCGGGAAAGGGTAGACCATGTTTCTCAACCATTGTTACTAATAAGATGCTGTTGGACTGAACTTCACCGTTGAAGTGGAGGTATGATTGCTAATCTTCCCTTGATAACCACCCACCCAAACCTACTCTCACCAACATCCCTATGGAGCCTCCATACACGCACTAAATTCCGCAGTCTAAGCCCTGCTTTACACGAGCCTGCAGACTCAGAATAGCCCTAAACCCGAAACCCCTAAAGACATTCTTGGCAGCTTTTTCGGTTCACATGGATTCAAGCCTGAGTCCCTGAACTAACAAGACCTTAGAACTCTGAAGCCGCAAAGCCCGAAACCAAATATGACAAATCTGAGCAACACAAGAACTCGAAAACTGTTCTAGGCGGATTCTGATTGAAAGCAAACGTTGTAAAACTGCCTTTTCTTCATATTGACTGCTCTCTGTCGAGACCTTTATGCCACAGATCGAAGGACTCAAAAATCCATGTCGCGGAACCTGACTTTGCTGAGAAAATCAGTAACCTACAATGTCCTATGCCCTAGACCCCAGCTCCAAAACTACGCCCGAAATCAAGCCAAGAACCCTAAAAGGTAAACATGTGGGAGTTTCATAAACTACGTCACCCTTCAAATAGAAACCCTTATAGCAGTGTCCTTCCTGCAAGATCCGAACAACAAGGGCAACCCCCCTAATATCAGGAAACCCTAATATAGGGGCCTTAATGATTAGAATAAGCTTCTGGGGCCCGTTACCGAACCCCCCAAAACAGTATAGGTAATTATTAAGGCCCCTATCCTAAACCCTAAACCCTATAGATCCCTTCAAGGACCCTTTAGAGGAGCCCTTAAGGATCCCCTTAAAGGTAGTATAGGTAATTCTTAAGGCTCCTCTTTGTCACGTATCTCGCCTGCACCTCCCGAGAGGTGCGCATGCGCTTGTGGCTCTTCTTGGACTTCGCCGTCTGGCACACAGCTCATTGTTGTCAGGGTTGAGGGCTTAGGGTTGGGTACTGCCCCCTTACAGTAAAAGTCTATAATAGGGCTACTATTAAGGTCCTAATGTAACTATATTATGAATGTTAATCAACTATTACTGATTGGGGGCCGTGCCCAAGGTTTTGGGCTTAGGGCCGAGCCTTTGGAGGCTTATAGTGCGTTGGGGCATCGAAGTGAACGGATCGAAGCAACTGCAAGTCCACCTCTTAACGATAAATCCCCAGCCTCAAACGGGTTTGGAGTCTAGGGGTGTAGGGTTTGGGATTTAGGGGTTCGGGTTTAGGGTTTAGGGTTTTGGGGTTTTAGGGTTTAAGGGTTTGGGGTTTAGGGTTTAGGGTTTAGCTGCTAAGACCACGTAGCCCTAAACCCCAAACAGCTAAAGTTTAGCTGTTTGGGGTTTAGGGCTACGCGGTCATTTACCACCAAGGCTGGGTGTTTTTTGGTGCATAGTGTCACCCCTAAAAAAGGCATCGACTCCCAATTTCCCTAGAGCCCTCGCCTGGCTCGACACGGCTTTGTCCACAGAGGCAATGGCGTCCCTGTCCTTCGACCTCGACGTGTCCTCAGAGTTCTACGAAATAGTGCAGTTTACTGGGTTCTTGTGAATTGGTTTAATTTAAGTTACCATACGAAAGCAACCACAATTTTTTCCTATAGATCCCTAAGACTCTAGCGTCTTTCACGGCTCCACGCTACGAAGGGCGATTCGGAGGTGGTCAGGCTGCGAGCTGTTTCAGACCCCCGCAAGTAGGCTCCGACAGTGCAACTGAGGGCCTTTGAGCAGGTTCAAGGTCACGGGTTTAGGGTTTTGGTTTTAGGGTTTAGGGTTTAGTTAGGGTTAGGGTTAGAAGATACCAAAGAGTCGAACCCAGAATCCGAACAACACCCCCGAAACCCACGGCAAGAAACAAGAAACTGCAGACATGAGAATGAAGCACATAAAGAAAGAACGTTATCACCGCTGGACATCGTAAGGATACAAACGGCGTGAATAAAGCCAAACGAAGACAAACAAGAATCGTAGCAAGAGTAGACACAAAAAGATCATAAAACATGTGAAGCAAACTTGCCAAAACTTCTATCCAGGCTACGGTGTCCGTGACCTGGGGCAAAATCTCCTCAGCACCGGCCTCTGGCAATCTAACTCAGGTTGTTCGAAAGATCCTTTTACCGGGCTTGGCGTTGCAGAGATAGGGTAGGGCTTAAGGCTTCGTTTTGATGCATGCACTGGCTCTTTCTCTCCGCCGAAAGTCTAGACCCTGCCCGTACAGGCTTGCACCAGCAAGACAGAGCATTTACAGCTCCATCACGGAAACAACAACTGTAACATCACTCACAGTCACTCCAAGGGGATCACAGGAATGTTCACAACAAGTTGCGCGCCCTCATTGACAGCAACGGGTGCCATGAGACCTATTCTCCATGAAAATCCCGAAGAGTCTGGCGTTCTTCCTGTGACCTGGGTTCGTGCAAACGTCTTGGAGAGGTGCTCATACATGCTTGTGTACATGCATATACACACACCCCCCGTACGCATGTCGTATAAGAACCTATAAGTCGGAAGATATAGATATGCATGTATGTATATATACACATACATGCATATATATATATGTATATATATATATGCATATATATATATATGCATGTATGTATGTATGTAAGTATGTATGTATAACATACATTTACGCCTAGAAAGGGCATAAATACATGTGTGTAGATATGTTTATAAACACACATCACGCCTCGCCGTCCACTGCTGCAGCGACCGCCAGAAAGTTCACAGCCTGCAGGGACGTTCCGAGTCTGTGGCCTGCTGCTGCAAGGGAGTTTGCAGAACGTCTTTGGGGTGTTGTGAGGGCTCTATACGAGTTGTTTAAAGTATCTATGGGGCTTGATAAAATGTCTATACAGGGTTCACCTGGTTTTATAGGGCTTAACAAGGCTTAACAAGATAATCTGCATACTTACTGAAATTGTCTCCTGAAAAATTCAAGTTAAAGTTACATAAGAGTATGCCCAAAATACCAAACCCATCTCAATGCATCCAATGTAGCCCTTAATAGTTGGAAAGTGGTTTGGGGTATGTTCTAGAAGGACTGGGTTGCACGGCCTTGCCGGTTGGCGATCGAAATTTGGGGCACGGTGCTGTGGCAAGGACGGCCGGAGGCACCCCGAATGCAAGAACCCCCGACATAAGAAGCAAGAAGTACCTTCAGAATCAGAACCATCGATTCCTGTCTCTTTTGGGAAACCAGACCTTGTGCTGACTGCGCCGCTCCACCGGAAGTGGGCTGACGGAATCAGTTGGCCTCAGCTCACGGATTCCTGTCTTGTGTTGCTCTCCTAACCCTCAACTGAACCCCTAAAACCTAAACCCTTAACTCTGAACCCCTAAACCCTAAACCCTTAACTCTAAACCCCCAAACCCTTAACTCTGAACCCCTAAACCCTAAACCCTTAACTCTGAACCCCTAAACCCTAAACCCTTAACTCTAAACCCCCAAACCCTTAACTCTGAACCCCTAAACCCTAAACTTGGCCTTAAACCCTTAACTCTGAACCCCTAAACCCTAAACCCTTAACTCTAAACCCCCAAACCCGTAACTCTGAACCCCTAAACCCTAAACCCTTAACTCTGAACCCCTAAACCCTAAACCCTTAACTCTGAACCCCTCAACCCTAAACCCTTAACTCTGAACCCCTAAACCCTGAACCCTTAACTCTAAACCCCCAAAGCTCGACGACAGACCCCGGCCGAGGGCCTGACCCGGGGCCCCCCGGGACACCCACTCGTCCCGGGCCCTCCCCGGGACACTTGTCTGTGTGGTGGCCGTTCTTCAGCACTCCAGCCTGGGTTCCGCACCGATCGCTTGGTGGGCCGCCGGTGCCGTTTGAGCTCTTCGAGCCACTCCTTGGCTCCGTGTCAGCGAACATTCCCACGTCTTACTGAGGCCGTAGCTTGGGGGTCCCAGAGGCCGTCCGACGGCGGCTTGCGCGAGGCTTGCATCGCTGCGGCCAACTGCGCCTCGTCCTGCATGTCACCAGAGATGTACATGTCACTGAGCAGGGGTACATTTGCCTCCTCCTGCGTGCCAGGAGCATCCGCAAAGGGTTCTCCAAGTCCGCCGTGTCCTGCACATGCCACGCCGCCTCTCCAGCCTTCCCCGCCCCGGCCTCGCTTGCGTTTCGGTCCGACGGCGGCTTGCGCGACGCTTGCATCGCTGCGGCCACATGCGCCTCTTCCTGCATGTCACCAAAGATGTACATTTCACTGAGCAGAGGACAGCGTGCCAGGAGCGTCCGCAAAGAGGTTCTCCAAGTCCGCCGTGTCCTGCACATGCCACGCCGCCTCTCCAGCGTTTCCCGCCCCGGCCTCGCTAGCTTTTCGGCCGACCGCGTGCCCATCTCCTCGCTAGAGAGCTCGTCCGCGTTGGCCTGTCCAAGAAGCCAGGCTTCTTGTCCCCTATATACTCTACCAGTCCCTCGCTCCTCTGCCAGAGCAGCCATGCCGAAGTCGACTTCCTGCAGACCCAACAATCTCGGCACGCTGCTGCCCACTGCAGACATCCAGACTTGACCTACCACCGCGATGTTGACATCACGTTCCCTCGCCCGCCGGGCCTCGTCCAGAATGGGGCGCTTCGCTAGCTGCTCCATGTCCTTGCGAAGAGCCTCGCGGGCCTGCGCGTCGGAGAACTTCCGTCAAAGGCACCATGTTGGCGATTCGAACCTTTCCATACGTGCTTCTGCACGTGGCCTCTGCCTTCTCCTTCGCCGCGCGCGCTTTCTTCTTTTGTTTGTCTCGCCAGTCCGCTTTGCGGGTTTTTTCCTTGGAGCGCATGTCCTCCAGCTTGGCCTTCGCCTTAGCTTTGGCCTCCGCACAAGTCGGACTCAAGCTCGGATGTCTGCGGCTCGCACTGCCCGCCTCTGCCGAGCCCTCCGCCACTGCTCCCTCCGGGCCGACTTCTTGTTCGCGTTCTCGTTTCTTTTCTTGAAGCGTCGGGGCTGGCTGTGCCCACCCCCGACGCACACATGCAAAGCGACCACGAGCGCACGCACGCTGCACTTGAATTTTGTTGCTGCCCCGAGGGCGTCAAGCCCATGCGCCTCCGGAATTCTTCTTCCCGCGCCCGCCTCCTCTGCCTGGAAGCACGCCGCGATAGCGGTTTCACTTGCCGGCGCCGTTCCCTCCCAGTCCGTAAACAAGTCTTTGTGCCTCACATGTGGGACGGTCTCCTTCGCCGTCGCCTTCAGGCCGAGGCCATGTGCTTCCATGGTTGCGTACTGTCACTTGCCACGCCTCCTTCTTCGCAGGCCTCGGCCGCGCACGCCTCCGCACTCACATTGGCACCTGACGGTCTCGTGCATTGTTGAGAACATATTTTCCCGTGTTCCGCCTTCGCCTGCTTCGCCCTCGCGTGCTTCCTCCTGCGGGGAATCGAGATCACGAACCGCCGGCCGACATTGCCCCGGCCTCCTGCGAAGGCGGCCTCGTCCTCCGCTGCCTCAAACTATTGGACTTGCTCCCCCCTCTAGGCCTGTGCTGGGCCTACGACTGTGTCAGCAACTACTTCAGTACCTCCGCAGGAGCCTCCTTTCCCTTGTCGCCGCCGTGTCCGCTGCGGACACCTTCTGATCTGCCATGTCTGCATAAGTATTTATTCCTGTTGCTTTGGAAGATCGCCAAAGACAAGTAAGTCTAGAGACCTTGCACGTATGTGTCCACCCGTGCCTTCCAGTGCGACCACCAGGCCTCGTATCAGCATAGCTCAGTGTCCAGAGAAAGAGCTTCAAGGATCCGAGCATCCGACACAGCAGCAGAGCCCACTGCGGCTTCATGCTCGCAGCGAGGCGTGGGGTCGGGCTGGGTGTGTGCGAGAGCTTGAGTCAGCTTGAGTGTTTGCGGCTGCGCCCGTCGCGCTGGCTTCGTGCACTTGTAACTTCTCTCCAAAACGAAAGAGAGACGAATTTGGATGCACCCGAAGAAGAGGAAGGAAAGGGTCTGGATACCCCACGCACACTCAAAGACAAGAAGATGCCGAGAGTGGTTCGTCAGAGAGATCCCGTGGTTCGGAAAGCTCTTCTGGACTACATCGTCGGTACAGACACGAAGGTTGCCACACCAAAAGTGCGTTTCCTTGCTTTGTCGCTACTACTACAACAACCACAACTACGACGACGACGAAGAACTCCTGCTAAGCATAGCACTACGTTGCGAGCCCTCACCGTTACCTTACTCGACAGCAAGGCCCCGGGACTTGGGACCCCGAGAGTAGGTTTACCTCGCAATAGAATCAGAACATGTGCACCAGTTGCCTCCCAGGATTGCATCATTGGCTCGATCCACGATTCGCTCAATTTCGTGATTTTTGGACTTCGGGGCCTCCCTGTGCTCTCTTCAAGATGGTTTCGCTTTTCCGGGGCTTTTCGGAGCTTCTCCAAGGACTCTGCAGCTTTATCTCTGGATAAATCGACGCCTGTACGAGCCCCGGGCCCCTGTCCGTCAACACAACCTTCATATACAACCTTGACCAAAGAAGAAGCATCGGCATGCAAGGAAAAACACTTGCATAAACCCTAAACCCTAATAGAGTATAGTTTGGGTGGCCGGGGTGGGTTGACAAGCAACCCAAACGCGCGGCCCGGGGTGCTTCACACCCGAGCGCGCGCCCTCCTGGACACACTCTAACCCTTAACTCTGAACCCCTGAACCCTAAACCCTAGACACCTAAACAGCTTAAACCCTAAACTGTGAGCTCTCCTGCCCTTGTTCTAGTGCTCTTCTGGGCAGGGTGTCTCAGCTACTTTGGGTTTCAAAGTCGGTTTAGGGTTTAGGGTTTCAGGGTTTAGGGTTTTAGGGTTTAGGGTTACAGTTTAAGATCAAAGTTTTAGGATGCTCTAGGTTTCGGATGCAGCGCTTCAGGGTTTCCAGGCTTTAACGACAGCAAGGAGGGCTTAAAGGCTTCAGAGAAAAGCACCCCATGTGGATTTTGGGGTTTTGGGTCCAGAGTTTTGGCGGCAATTGACAGCATCGTCTCGGATCGCTCGGCCCCAGTATGCATGGCAGGTACCGGTTGCACCTTCTTTGCACTGAACTTCAGTGGCGCCAAGAGCTCTTCGCCATGTCTAACGCACCTCCACAGAGCCCCTCCTTCCGTGCTGGGTCTTGACAACGGGTCTCGGATGAACACGTGGTGATGTGCCCAGCCAGCACCAACGGACGCGAGAACAGTTATCTCCCCGGTGAGCAAGACCCCCGACCGCTCGCCCTGTCTGTGTGCTCGCAGATGACTTGAAGGTCTAGGCCTCCTAGATTTAGGGTTTTGGGGTGCATGCTATGCTTGATGATATCAGCCCTGCATTACTCGTAATAAGGAGTATACCATAATTCCCACAGTCTACTTACTCCCCCAATAAGCCACAAAAAAAAAAGGCTAAACTTTCCGATTCGTACTAAACTACAAGAACCCAAAAAGGCTTAAAGGTTGGGCATTGGGGATCTAAGTCTATATCATCAACCGTACCTTGGGGCTCCGGCCTTGGGTTTGGGCTGGGTTTCGGGGTTGAGTCCCGGAGTTCTGGGTTGAGCCTTGACGAGGAAGGCCAGCGCTCTTTAGGGTTTATAGGGTTTAGGGTTACAGCTTGTGAAACAACGAACTCTTAACTAACGCCAGACGCCTAGCAGCCTAGCAAAAATTCATAGATTTAGCTGTTTCTCAGGGATGAAAGGAACCCCAATTTGGAAACTATTTATAAGTACCCCTAGTAGCCATAAACTCCAATGTGGGACTAAACCCAAAATTCAACACTTCGCCCTAAACCTCAAAGCTTGAAACTGTGGTGTAGCCAGGACGCGTCTCGGTGTTTCGCAGCACCTACCACGTTTAGGCGCAAGACTGACTTGAGGGTGCCACAGGATTCTGGGTGTTCCATGCCCAGAGAGCCCAATCGCCCTTAATTAAGCAACATAGCTTAAATCCTAATATGAAGCCCTATATAATTTAAGCCATATTCCGTAATTAAGGGGTATTGGGCTCTCTGGGTGCTTGACAGGGGCTTCTCGAACTGGGGAAAACAGACTCTTCATGACTGGGGAATTCAAAAATCCCAATTAGGCTCGATTTCAGGGTACCTATCAAAAGGTGAACCCTGTGAGGTAATTGGGTTTAGGAACTTTGTATAGGAAGTGGATTGTGGGCTGCAGCTGTCGGCTTGGGGCAGCCTAGAGCTTATCCTGTAACCGGAACCCTCAGCCCCACAGAGCCCCCCAGAGAGCCCAATACCCCTTGATTAAGGAATATGGCTTAAATTATATAGGGCTTCATAATATGATGTAAGCTATACTTAATTAAGGGGTATTGGGCTCTCTGGGCCTACACCTCAACCAAACCTTCTGGTTCAGAGTTTCAGGATTGGGGATGAAGATGCTGAGGCTTATGGCCTAGGGTTTACTCTTGAGGAGTTTAGGGCTTGGGGTTTGGGCTTTAGGGTTTAGGGCCTCAGGCTTGGGCCTTAGGATTCAGGGCCTATAGTCTATAGCTTAACCAAAGATCTAAACAAGCCGCGCTGCCGGGACAGATGTTAGGAGTACCAATGAAGGCTTGTCTGTCGTCCTCTCAATCCCTAAAACTTGCATTGCATTGCAAACCCCAGAACCCTAAGCCTCAAATCCAAAACCCTCCTAGACCCAAACGCCCTAAGTCCTAAGAACCCAAAAGCCCTAAAACCATGAAGCCCTAACCTGCTTCCTTCCCCTTTAGGAACCTGTCAAAGGAACCAAAGAAGCATCTGAGGGAACTTTTCAATCCTGCCTTCTCTGCAAAGTTCTTGAGGGTGGGCGACCTCGCCGATGCTTCCCAGAGACTCCAAAACCCCCTTGAGTAAGGAATAATGTAGGAACCTGGATTAAGAAACCCTGGGCCTATAACCCCAAAATAATAGGATTCATATAAAGAACCCAAATAGAGGCCCAAGGTTTCTTAATCAGGTCCCTCCATTATGCGTTGGATCATGTTGAGGTTCCGAAGACAGTTGTTGGGAGATTGCCTGATTACTTGGAGGGTCGGGGGACTTAGTAACTAGTTCTTTTATAGACTTATATGTACCATAACCCCAATTAGGGTCCCTTTTAGGGTACTTATAAGTCTACTTACTACCTACTTACTAAGTCCCCTAAAGACCCTCCAAGTAAGGGTTGTTGCTGTAGGCATTCGGTTCAGAGCCCTGAAAGGGTTCCTCTAAGGGCTCACAGCTCACTGCCTTTGAGATGCAAATTAGACTAGGGTTTCGGTGCCTTTTTTTTTTAAAGTTTCGGTGCATATTGTATTACAACTACAACAAAGAGGAAGGAGCAATACTACTGGAAAATGCTCCGACCCCTGTGTTTCCCCCTAAAGCCTGCCGGACTCGCAAAAACGAAACCCAAACGATAAGACGTAAAGCCCAAACCGGCACTGCCTTCCCTTCAAAGCTAAACTCCCGAAAGATACGCAAAACAAGCACCCGGGCTTTCTGAGATCCTGCAGCTGGAAACCTTCACGCTTCAGGGTTCAAGGTTCAGGGGAGCAGCTTCCGGCAACCCTGAACAACGGCGAACCCCAGAGGATAATCCCGAAGAGAAAAGGCAAAAAAACTCAACACCACAAACTAAACCCCAAGAATCATGCCTGAAACCGCCCAAAACCCTAAGGCCGCAAACCCCTGCTAGGCTAAACTTTGACTCGAGCAGAGGCATCCTTTTTGTTGGAGCCCCGTAATAAAGAACAGACGCCCCAGGCAAGGGTTTAAAGTAGGATGTAGTTTAGTGTTCATTCTCTGATGATTTCTATTGAAGGACTCAGGCATTAGGGTCCTGTCTTATATTCCTTAAAGTGAGCCCAAACCCCGGAATCCGAAACAAATCCTCAATTCCAAACCCGAAGTCCCTAGCCCGTAAACTTACAAAGACCACCAACCCCTACGCCAACAAACCCCAAAAACGCAAATCCGCCCCTCACTGAACTCAAAGGGGAAAAGGAGGGACCCTTAATAAGCACCCCTAGGTGTATACCCTTAATATAGCTATTATATACCCATCCTTTTCCCCGTTGATGAACCCCAAAAGACCCCACGGCCCCTCCAACGGCCCAACCCTCTAACCCTGTAACCCTAAACCCAAGCCATGAAACCCAAAACCCTCAAACCCTAAACCCCTAAACCCTTCACCCCGGCCCTAACCCCTAAACCCCTAAACCCCTAAACCCTCAACCCTCAACCCGAAAAGAGGGCCTCCCCATGACGGAAGTCTTTGACAGCTTCTCAGGCTTCGCAGAAGGGGCTTCGACCGGCGCTGGCTCGGCCGCCCGGCTCCTGTTTCGGGTCCGAAAAAAGGGTTTAGGGTTTAGGGTTTAGGGTCCGAAAAAAGGTTCAGGGTATGGTTTTACGAGGGCTTTATATGGGGGTTCAAGCGCTTAGGGCATGAGGCTCATAAAGAATTCTTTAGGATTTGGTGCTTTGGAGGAAAAGGTCTGTAGTACCAGCTACCAGTTGGGGTGTTCGGCTTTGGGGTTTAAGGTTTCGGGTTTGGCGTATGGGGTTAAGATTAGTTTGGAGCTGTGGGCTCAGATCAGGGATGAAGTGACCGCACAACCGCCCTAAACCCACAAGCCCAAACACAGAGCCCTGCACTCCTAACCCTAAACCCTCAACCGACCACAACCTGCTCCCAAACACGCAGTATCCTCAACAAAACACCTGCTTTTAAAACCCGAACCCACCTTGATTTGGGGACCCAAAAGACAGGGGCCGAGCAGACATCAAAATTCTATGCAAGTTAAAGGGTCGCAAGGTCTGGGACCAATGAGCTCAGTTAGAAAATCCAGGCAAAAACCATGGCAAAAACCGAAACCCGGAACCGAAGCCGAAAACCCTCAAAAGCCCTGAAACACTTAACCCGAATAAAGAACATCAAAACGAACCCCGAAGCCTCTCGGCTGGAGCGGCATCCGACCTGAGCAGTGACCAGGGTGGAGGCTTTAGGGCGCAAGGCTTAGGCCTGGGGATTGGAGGGACAAATGTCAGGCAGCTAGGCTTTTGGGTTTAAGGTTACGTTAAGGGGTCGGTCAGTGTTTCGGGCAGGACAAGCATCATGCTGAAAATGTAGAGAGCTCGGGCTAAGCACCTAGACCTTCTTCAGGGTCTCGTAGAACGAGGCAGAAGCCACGAAGGCAACTAGGCCCTTGACCTGAAACTTCTGCAATCGTTGCTTCGGGACTGGCTTTTGCCGACTCAGGGTGAACCGATCCGAACCCCGAAACCCTAAACCCAAAACCAAATCTCCGATAATTCAAGCTGACGTCATCTTGCCGTCTAGTGATTGAAGCAACTTCGGCGGTGGACGTCTTCTTGATGCCTTCCCGGGGCAAGATAGCAGCTTTGACGAGTCTGCCTTCACGAAGCTTAGGAACACTGGAGGGGACGTCTCGTCATGGTTTGTCTTGATCTTCGCCGGCAGACTTGCACATCACCTCTAGGATTGGTCAACGCTTGGTTGTGCCGCGCAGAGTCAGAGACCATATCCCGGAAGAATCTGTTTCCATGTGAATCAGCTAGCTAGCCACTGCAGCTATGATGTCTTGGAGGAAACCCTTTGAGACAGAGCAGCTCTGGCCTGATTGGTATGGAATAGTTCCATTAGAAGCATCTTCAAGAACATATTTATCCCTGTCCCCAAATACCGGCTAGAGTAACCCAATTATAATGAGGGTACCCTTCTTCCTAACTATTCTGCTTGAATACAGGGACCTTAAATGAAAAAGGGCAAAAGGGTGCTACTGGAAACCCAGGCAAGCTCATGCAAAAAAAAGCCAGCTCGGAAATCCGAAATGTGTAAAAATTCCCTGCACCCTGCACCGACATGGGAGTTTCCGACATCAGGGGACCCCAATTTAGTACCCTAAATGAAGAAGGAGCCATACTTTTCGGAAACTCCCACATCCTAAACCGTCAACTCCAGGACCCTGGATTGAAGACCCTGTAAGCATCTAAAGCCCTGAGGCTTGGGGCATCAGGGTTTAGATGGACTTATTGGGAGTTTCCGAAAATTAGGGGTACCTTACTTTGGAGTCCTTATAATAAGGATCCTACTATTTAGGCTACTATACTAGGGTCCCCTATTCTCGGAAACTCCCATATGGGGTTTAGGCGCCAAGCTCGAAAGACATCTTGTTCATATGAACAGCAGTGAAGCCAAAGCCACTCGATGCTACAAAGCTGTAAACTTGTAAATCCGTCAGCCCCGAAAAGCCCCTGCACCACCGAAACTCCCCAAACCCTAAACCGCAAGCCCCGAAAACTCCAAAAAGACCATGTCAAAATCGTGTAGGCCACCTATATAGACTCCTTCCCTGAACCCTAGAAACCCAGTAGAACAGACCAAGCCAGGAAGCCCTGACAGTTTGTTGCCGAGATCTTTCAGCATCGCTTCCTGCTTCGACTTGGGACTGAAGGGCTGGTGTGGGCGGGGAGGAGGGGATGGGTTCCTGCCCAGAGAGCCCAATACCCCTTAATTAAGGAATATACCTTAAATTACAAGGGGCTTCATATTATGACTTAAGCTATATTCCTTAATTAAGGGGTATTGGGCTCTCTGGGAAGTCTCCCCTTTCGAACCCTTGCCAGGCAGGGCCCTACATGCGAATCGAAACCCTCGAAAAAACATTGTACGCCCGAAAAGCCCAAACCCCATCAAACACAGCACAGGCTACAGCCTCCTGCAACACTCAACATCTAGAGCCCGAGTCCAAACACAGCCGAATGCCGCTGAAATTTGATAATCCGGCGATGACGACAGAAACCAGAGACTTGGCCAACGCGACCGTAGTAGCCAAATGGACGAAAAAAATCGAAACCTATCCACAACATAATAAACGCGAACAACCCCCAACAAGATGATAACAGAGAAAACTCCAAAAAAAAACTCAAAGAAAAAGAACAGACATAACATGCACAAAAACAATTGCAAAAGATGGAAGATCTCAAAGTACGAGAAAATTGCAGGCCTGCCGCTGCATCCATCCCTGGCAAGGCTTGGGGCTGCTGAGCTTCGAGGCTTCGGGCTTGACAGTGATCTGCTGGATTTAGGGTTCAGGGTTTAGGGGTTCAGGCTTTAGGGTTTAGGGTTTAGGGTTTAGGGGTTTTGGGGTTTAGGGTTTAGGGGTTTCGGGGTTTAGGGGTTGAGGGGTTTAGGGGTTGAGGGGTTAGGGGTTTAGGGGTTTAGAGTTTAGGGGTCTGTTGAATTTGATCTACAGACCTTATCAAGTAGAATTGGGTTTTGAGGGGTATACTATGCTCCACTAGTCTTGGGTAGAACCGCGCTTTGAAAAGTATACAGCATACTATACAGCGCTGGTCTTGGAGCCGAAAATAATCTTGTTATTGATTGAAGAGCTTGGGACACTGAAGCCGAGGGCCTAGAGTCTAGAGCTTGGTGTTTAGGAGTTATAGGTGTAGGCAGTGTAAGCAAACCGCTTGAGGTTTTAGGGCTTAGAGGTTTAAGGCTTGTGGTGCTCTTGTGGAGGTCTGGGGTGGGGTTCAAGGATGAGGGATCACTCGGAGGGTCCCCCCCGGCTTAGTAAGTAGCTGTTTTATACCCAATTGGGACCCCATTTAGGCTACTTATAGGTCTACATACTAAGTCCCGCGACCCTCCATGCACGGTTTTCAGGATTTTGGGCTTCTGGACTGTCGTCGTGAAAGTTGAGGGCTGTGTGCCTGGGGGTTGAGGCTTTCAAAGGGTTTAGATTGTGGAGGCTTCTGTCAATTTCAGAACCGATGCGAATAGAAAGCACACAGCTCACAGTAGGAGCACATATCCAAGCCCTCATATTAGCCTTCCAAAGACGACATTAACTTCAACAAGCCTGTACATATACTGTTTACTCGCTTTTGTAATTACTTATCTGCTTACGTGTTTTCAGTGTTGTTTTTCATAGCACACCAACACCCTTGAGAAAAAACGGCCTCGAGCTTCGAGTCGAGCTCCGCATGCCGGGTACTCAGCCTTGGATAGCCAGCTGAAGCTTCTGCGTGGTGTCAGGCAAGCTCTTCATGTGAATACTACAAGAAGCTTTTAAAGAGATCGTGAAAGGAGTCAAGAAATGTTAAAAGTTGCAAAAGCTTGTATCAGGGTATATAGAAGATTCGATCAGTCTTCTGTATGCCTGCATCCAATCGAGTCTATACTGGATAAGGTGTTCGGGATTCATGTGTCCAATCGGCTTTTGGGTTTAGGGATTTAGGATTCAAGATTTAGGCTAGCTTGGGGTCTAGGATTTTAGCAGGCTCCTCATATGCAGGATCATACTCTTCACAGCCCATGTTTACGTTTACATGTCTTGCCTCCTCCTGAGGAACTTGATGTTTGCCGGGTTTTAAACTGCGGCTTTACATTAAAGGATTGATTCCTAGGTGAAAGCAGTCCTTGTTCGTGGCCGTTGGGTATCTAAATACTAAAGGAACACCCGAATCCTACACCCTGTATAACTCCCCGTATAGGGGTAAGCATTGGTACCCACATATCCAGGCCCACAAGTAAAGGACCCTAAACTTGTAACCCTAAAAAGTAAAGGGTGTTTTTTTACTACTCAAAGCAAAGCTGCTAGGCCGCTGCTAAACCCAAATTGCAGTGTCGACCTCGATGATGCCGAAGTCTGAAGCGAAAAGGCCCAGAACGGGGATGTTCAAGGTCCCCCTTTTCGCCATCACAGTGCTGCGAAACAGAACGGACAGGACAAAGCCGTCCAAGTGGGACGTGTAGTTGAGTCTCCACAGCATCGTGTCTGTCTGGGGGCCCTTTGTGAGCTGTACAAGCAGCTCAAGGCACTGGGTCCATCCAAAGGCGTGGCGACCTGGAGGGACACACCGCGGATTGCTTGGATGCATTCCGTGCAAGCTGGTGTTTCCCGACACTGGCGTCGCGGACCTTTCTGGGGCCTCCCTCGGAGTGGCTTGAGCAGGGGGGATGAATCCTGGAACAGGGCCTTTTCAGGTTTCCTACCGCATAAAGCTCCGGTCTCTGTTTCACCCGAATTGAGGCGTCGACTTACGACCCGAAAGCTGACGAAGAGAAAGACATATCATGTTCAGGATCCCTAGGTTGCTTACAGTATATTCCGCAATTAAAGAAATTTTGGAGTATCTAGCTCCAAACACCAAAACGCTGAAAGCTGCAGAAACCTGGAAACAAAACCCACTGAAAGCTGGAAGCGCAAGCCCTACTCCCAGAATCCGTGAACCCTGAACTAGAGAACCTAAGTCGCTTCTCAACATGGCCAAAACCCTACGACAGGAACCGCTCAGAACAGACTTCGAAAACCAAAGCCTCTAAATCTTAGCGTTCAGGAGGTTTTTCTTAGGGTTTTAAACCCTAAACCCTATTAGGGTTCGGCCCTAAACCCTAAACTCTAAATTAGGGTTCGGCGAGGTTTAGGTTCGGGTTGACGGCTCACACCTTGGGGTTCAGGGCCTCAGGGGTCAAACCCTGTAGGGTTACGGGTTAAGGGGTTTAAGGGGCGCAGTGGCAGGATTTCAGAACTGCTGCAGCCACGTCTCCACAAGAGCCCGTTGCTACAGCTATTCCGGCTGCAGATCCTTTTCCCTTCGTCTGTAGCACATGCTCTAAGTCGTTCCCCTTGCGCAAACACTTGCATGTGCACATGTTAGCCCTGCGCGCCATTTCGCGCTCACAGAGGCTTGCACAGCATGCGGCAAGTATTACGGCTCCATAGCACAGGTTCAACAGCATTTGAAACAGACGCCCAGATGTCTGCGGCGATGCTCCTTTCTGCATCCGCCTCTTACCAAAGCCAAATTGCGCTCCTAGAAGCACCCGCCAAAAAGCTAGCTAAACCCATCAAGGCAAGCTTTTGGCGGTTTTTTTGTCGGCAGCGCGCCGCCCACCCTTGCCCCTACGACAGCCGGGCCGCTCCTGCCCACCGCAGCTGAGCGGCAACAAGGACTGCCAGCGAACGAGGACACCCTCCTTGGTGACCTGCGTAGATTCTTTGTCCCAGACCAACCAGTCACCGACTGGATCGAGGAGTATCTTGCAGGCAAGTCCGTTGAAGGGCCCAGGACCACGGCGGTACGTTTTTGGCTTCTCAAACCCACCGCAACTGTCGGTGTGTCAGAACAGTTTCACAAGCATGGATCTAATTTTTTTTGGACGCGCCCTGATGAGGGAACCAGAACCTAGGTGCTTCAAACCTTGCACATACGGACAAACCGACTGTCGTTCCACTACCAAATCCCGACCCTCGAAACGGACATCTTAAACCCCACCTATGCCTTCAACCTAAAAGCCGAAGCGATGAATCGATGCAAGTCGCAGCCGCCCCGTTTGGAGGCTCCTGGGCTTTTGAACTCGAGTCTTTGGAGTTCAGTGGCTCTCCTGCTCTGGATGCCGGGTTGCGGTGCTTTCCGTCGCAACCTCTGCGCCGGCCTGTCAAAAGCACCAGCGGCCCACAATCGCCACCTGACGGGATCTGCAATTCCCCGCCTCCTTTGTTTCGTCGTTTATCGGACCTGCCAAAAAGCACAGAATCCACATTGAGTGACGGTCCTGAGCACGGTCCTGAGCTGGGGGTTTCGAGCAGGAGTTATGTAGGTGAGTAGTTGGGCGAGTATATGATATTTCGCCACTTGAACCCTTACGAGAAGGGGTCCTGGGCTTAACTGCTAGATTAGGGTATTCCTAGAAGGAGGCATGTAACATTTTATGCCCGAACCTCCTGAGGCGTCTAAACGGTTTCCCGAAAGCCCAAGCCTAAACCCCGTGAAATCCCCAAGCTGGACTATTATGAAGAGGTATTCAAGTGTCTCCATAAGGAACCCTGTGTTTTAGTGTTTTCTACACCCCAAGGCCTGGTTTCAGGTGACTGCGCCTCTAAATGTCCGGGGCTGTTTTTTGGATGTTTTGTTGCGTTCTCTTGGTTTGGACCTGGCGGTTTCCCGGTTTGGGGGGGGTGGGGGGGGGGTTGATAATTACGTACATTGGAAGCACATCAAGACATCCAGAAAGTCACTGCCAAGCCTAAGCCCCAAACACGTTTTTACTCTAGGGTCCCAAACCCTAAGAGCCTCCAAACCCCAAGCCCTTGAAGGCCTCGAAACCCGAAGCCTTCAAAGGCCTCGAAACCCCAAGCTTGCCTCGCCCAAAGACTTTCATATCGGTTTAGGGTTTTGAGTTAGAGTTCAGGTTCTAGGGTTTACGCTGCGAATAGCATGGCCCGTCCGCAAGGAACGATGCAAAGAAGAGTAGCATGGCACATGCCAGCTCAGGTGCACACCCACAAAACGAGAAGCGTACCGGATGGTTGCCATAAGGGCTCATAAGACAAAGGGGCCCAATCACCCTAGTCCCGATTAGGGATTAGGTTCAGGGGGTTGTATAGTTTGTCGAAGTTGGGTTTCTACTTCTGGCTGACCTGGCCTTGCTGTTAGCCTTCCCGGCAACGAGCCTCGGGCGAACCCTGAGCTGTTGCAAGAGTTGTATGAGTGGTGTACTGGCCTTCATCACAACGGGAGCATGAGAACACTGCTCCTCATGCTGGGTCGCTTCCTGAAGCAGAATCGTTTCAGAGGCTTGTGAAATCGACGGGGCAACTAACTTTCGACGCAGGAAAACAGTCCGAAATACTGCGCCTGCCAGCAACTTCAGCGGGTGCGCTGTGGAAGCGCTAGGGTTTAGGGTTTAGGCTTTGGGGTTTAGGGGTTTAGGTTGAGGGTTTAGGGTTTAGGGTCCTGGTCTTATGGATCGAAACAAATCAACAGCCACAGGTGGGATGGGCCTTGAACCGTAAACCCTCAGCGAAATGAGTCCTTAGAGCCCCAGGCCGAACCCTGAGAGCCGTAAGCCTTAAACCCTAAACCCCCAGACCCTAAACATTAACCCCTAAACCCCTAAAACCCCAAAACCTGAACCCTAAACCCTTAGCCCCTAAACCCTAAACCCCTAAACCCCAAAGCCTCTCGGATGCCCAGGAGCACAGCTAACAGGCCCTCCAGATCTACGACCTCGGACTCACTCAGAGGATCATGGGACTTAGTAAGCAGGTTATAGTAGGGGTTATAAAAATCTCCTAAGTGGTGTTCTCCTCATCATAACCTACTTCTAACCTTACTTACTAACTCCCATGAGCCTCTAAGTAGGGTGCACAAAGGAGCTCGAAGGCGGGTTACAGGCGCCTGGCTTTTAAGGGTTAGGGTTTGGGGTTTAGTGTATATTGGGGTTTAGGGTTCAGGGTCAGCTTACGACCTCGTAAGTAGGTACCAGTAACAGGTAGACCTATAAGTACCCTGAAAGGGATCCTAATCGGGGCTACGATGCTTATAACTCTTTCTAAGAACTACTTTGTAAGTCCACCGACACTCCAAGTAGGATTTGGGGTTTAAGGACTTCGGGACGGTTTGGGGGTTTAAGCGTTTATGTTAGACGCTACGTTATCGGTTTAGGGGTTGTGGGGAAGATTTAGAGTTACAGGTTTTATAGTTTGGGGTTTAGGGTTTCGGGCATTGGTTGTTTCAAGGCTTGGCTAGCACGGCTTTGAGGTTGAGGCTTCGGGCCGTTGACAGTCAAAGTCAAAGGATATGAATCTCTTGAATCTTGCCAGGCATCACTACTAAGACTACAAGGCTTTGATAAGATCTCTAACGCGGTTAAATAAAGTGCTCCGGCTGATGATATAAACTCTGCATTACTCATAATAGGGAATATACCACAATTCTCATACTTTAGGGTCCTTAAGGTAATGCAGGATTTATGTCATCAACCGTCGAACATGTTCGTGAAGGGCTCCAAAAAGGAGGGTCTGAGGTTCAGGCCGAAGGGTTGGAAGAGATTGGCCAGGTCTTGAGCCTAGCGGAACCCCGCAATGGTTTAGGGTTTAGGGTTTAGGGTTTAGGGTTTAGGGTTTAGGGTTTCACACCCACAACCCGGACTCCTGACAGAAGATGACAGATAATAGGAATAAGGGTAAAGCCTAGTTTCGCGACAATCTTACATCTCGCACTAGCGAGACCAAGAATCAGGAAAACTTGGGGGTGTATGGTACTGCACTTTGGTAAGGAACCCCGGGCACGAGCATTGTACACAATGTACTATAGACCCGGCAAACACGTGGCCATGCCAAGGCACATGAGGTATCGCAACTTCCGGCGGCACCTCCTGCGTTCGGACGTCACACTCCCAACACCCCACACTTAAAGCGTCGGGAGGACATAGTAAGTAGCTACCTAAACAGTTATAAATAGCTCAACCTGAATTCGGATCCCCGTTTGGGTGCTTCTACTCTAAACCCTTAGCACTAATTAGGTAGCTCTACTTTCTGAGCCTCCTGACCCTGAGAGCAAACCCTCTACGCTAAAATCGAGCACAGGGCTTTAGGGCGTCTCTTTCGTTTAGGGCATGGGTTCCCAGAAGGGTTTATGGTCGACTGTTCCGGGTTCCAGAGACTCTTTATAATTCAAAAGATATTCCTTACTGTTGATGGACAAAATCCTGCCGTACGGAGTCAAGGCATTGAGAGTTTCAGGGTACGCGGTGGCGTGCTCCTGGCTTTCACCACACGAGCCATTATGTACTTTATAAGTACCCTAAAAGGGATCCTAATTGGGGTTATGGTACATATAAGTCTATAAAATAACTACTTACTAAGTCCCCTGAGCCTCCAAGTGTGGCAAAAATGGAAAACCCAGTGACTCCAAAAACGACTTCGCGAAGCCCTGTATCCTGTATCCTAGACCCTACACCGCAACCCCTAAAGGGTCACCGACACTACGTCCCCACAGTGCTTTTTGGCCTGCAGCGTGGTTTAGAGTTTTATGGTACAGGCCATAGGGCTGCATGCTAAACCCTAAACCCCCAAACCTTAAAACCTAAACCCCTTAGGCAAACCCGACTCCTGTAGCCAGCCGGACGGGTCGTCCGAGCTCTTCGGCGCGAGCTTTTTCTTTCGGGCCTCTGTGTGCAGAGGATGTTGATATAGCGGCCTCAATAATTAGACTCGGGTGTTGGGGCCTATTATTTTATAGTTATAATAAGGAACCACCAAAATAGTATTCTGGTGCGGACAGTAGAGCTCATACGGGCGATAAAATAGTACTGGTACTCATTTAGGCCTCTGTCTGGTTCTTAGTAGGGAATGTGGGAATGGATCCCTATGATAGTCCCTCAAAGATCCCATATAGTAGTCCCGATAACCCATTCCCCCATTCCCTACTAAGAACCAGACAGCTCTGTGCAGAGGATGTTGGATTTCTGGCGGCTTAGGCATTCGGATTTGGGCTTTAGGGTTCAGGGTTGAGGGTGTACTTGGAGGATCATGGGACTTAGTAAGTCAGGTTATAAGTAGGTTATACTTAGGATAACCCCACTTAGGGGACTTATAATCTCTATGAAAACCTACTTACTGAGTCCCATGATCCTCTAAGTAGGGATTTTGCAGTTCTGGCGGCTTAGGATTCCGGGTTTGGGCTTCGGGGGGTTTTGCGCTCGGCTTTCTCTAGACCCAAGGGTTCCCAATCAAGGGTGAGCTTCGGGTTTACGGTTTTTTTGGGGGGTTTAGGGTTTAGGGTTTAGGGTTTAAGGTCTAGGGTTTAGGGTTTAGGGTCTAGGGTTTAGGGTTTAGGGTCTAGGGTTTAGGGCTTAGGGGCCATTAAAACTTAAAAAAACCCAATGAAGAAGGGTGTCGAGCTCCAGGAAAGTGCTTCGACGGGGTTCAGGGGGTTGTTCTGGCAATGCAGTTTTGGCCTGAAACCGACGAGCCTTGATAGGCCCGAAATCACATGGGAGTTTCCGAAGATACTTGGAGGGTCGGGGGACTTAGTAACTGCTCATTTCAGGGACTTATAAGTACCATAAACCCAATTAGGGTCCCTTTTAGGGTACTTATAAGTCTACTTACTACCTACTTACTAAGTCCCGCGACCCTCCAAGTAGGGGACCCTGCTAGAGTATCCTCAGGACCCCAAAACAAGTTGCCCCCTAATTTTCGGAAACTCCCAATTGAATCCTGAGACATTGGAAAGCAGGGACCCGGGCCAACGGTTTGGGGTTTTGAGCATATTATTGCGGCCTTAATTATTAGAATAGGGCTTTGGAGGATTCTAGTCAGGAAGCCCCAAAATAGCAGAGGCAGTTATGAAAGCCCCTATATATGAAGGTTGTAAGCCGGAGTCACCAGCCCGACACCCTAAACCATGCCCCAAGAGCATTTGGAATCCGAACTCCACAAACCAACCCCTAAATCGCAATCGCAAGCCCTTCAACCCCGAACCCGAAACCCCGAAACGAAACCGTACAAAGACCTAACTACAAAGCTATAAACTCTTAATGCAAGCACCTGAAAGCCTTATAAGCCTCATAACACACCGCTAAAATCAACTAAGACGAACATTACAAAAACAAATAACAAAGCAAACACTATGCGACCCATCCGCCTTCCGCTTCGGCTTGGGAACTTCCGAGGAAGCGGCTGCTTCCACCTCCTGGGTGGCTCTAGGATTTCGGCTTTTGGGCTTCTCTCTTCTTCAACAACCGGGCCCCAAAACGTTCTAAGATAAAGCTAACATATAAGGCCAAAAAGTTTAAAGTTCCCGCGTTCACTATCTAAGGCTTCGGGTTTAAGGTTTAGAGTTTAGAGTTTAGCGTTTAGGGTCTAGGGTTATCGGCACTCGGGCTTTGCAGGAGATTGATGATATTGTTTTCTGAGGTGTTTATGGGCCCTGACAGGCAGGGTTCCATAAGGCTTAGGGTTTAGGGTTTAGGGTTCATAAGGGCTTTGAGGGTTCCCACTGAGTGTCAAATCAAGGCTTGCGGTTCCGGGGGCGTCGGCTTCCCAAAGTTTGAAACCGGAGTGGCCAGTCATATATCCCGGAGGGCCATCTTCCAGGACTTGTTGTTGCAGAAGGCCGAGCAGTGCTTACAAAGCCTGTGCGGCACCAGCTAGAACCCGGACCGGTGCAACCAGGACCGCTGCGAAATGCTGGGCCTCGGCCTGATCACCCTTGGCAGCAGGAATGGGAACCATTACGAAGGGCGCCGGCGCAACCAGCTCAGCCTCCTCCTGACCACCAGCAGCAACAACCAATGGGGACCGACAATCGCTGGGGCAGAGCACGGATCCTGGCACGTTTGTCCACACCGCACGACGCTAGTGCAGGCATACGTGGAGTGGCCCTCGATAATGACACCTGCGTTCGGAATGGCCAAGAACTCCGGCCAGGCTTGCACGACTTCGCCGGCCGGCTGTCTCGTTTCGGCCAGACCACGGCTTGGGCCGAGGTACATCTTACGGCTGCCAGGCCGAGTTTCAAACTCGAAGGCCACAGCCATGTGGACGGGTTCTTCGGGTCGTATAAGGATTCTATCGGGCTTCTATCAGGATACCGGTTTAAAATTTAGGGCTTACGGCTTAGGGCTTGAAGTCACAGCTTTGGGGTTCGCTGTTCTGTTCCCTGTTCCTTGTGCCTTGGTTTGGGGCTGAGGTTTTTGGGCTACAGGGGTTTAGGGCTTTCGGGCCTAAGGCTTCGGGGTTCGCGTTTTAGGGCGCAAAACTTATGGTTCAGGGTTCAGGGTTTCTTGGGCCCCACCTGCAGCTTGCAATTGCATTGTAGCTGCTCCTGCTGGATACGATGATTTTTTGACAGGATCATGATCGAAAACAGGAACTACCTAAACCCCAAAGAACCTACTTGTGCAGGGTTCCTTACTGTGATTTCTTAATATGAGCCCTTAGACAGGAGGGCTATTTGGGGTTAGGGTACACTATACACTGAAACACCTGAACCTTAAACCGCGAACAGGCGACTTTGTTGTCAGCCCATTACCCTTGAAACCTCATGACACTGCATCCTAACAACCTCCCACAACACCCATTGCAGCATCACCGCCCTTAACCTTAAACGCAGGACCACCCATAAGAAAACCCCAAGGAAACCCAATAACACACGAAGACTCTCTTCTTCCAGAACCAGGCCCCAAAAAGTTCAAACTTTCTGAGATATAGCTAACATATAAGGCCCAAAAGATTAAAGTTCCCCCGTTCACTCTCTAAGAAGATGCAGCATGTCCTGAGGGGCAGCGTCGCCTCAGTCATAGAGGGCTCTGGGGTTGGAGCAGCTTAGAGCTTAGGCTTTGGGTTAGGGTTTAGGGGTTTAGTTTTTAGGATTTAAGGTTTAGGGTGCAGGTTTAGGGGGGTGAGGAGGCGAATGTCGGGTTCTTAATATGGATCCCACTAAGGGGGGAGGATCATGGGACTTAGTAAAAGTAGGGTTATGAGTACCCTAGTCGGGGTTATAAGTAAATATAAGTATAGTTACCCTAATGATAACCCTAGTTACTAAGTCCCATGACCGTTTTAGTAGACCCTAAACCCTAAACCCTATAGATCCCTTCAAGGAACCCTATAGATCCTAAGTCCCATCATCCTTTAAGTGGGTGGTTATAGGGCCAGGGTTTCTTAATCAGGCTCCGAGCCCGAAGCCGAAACGTGAGGCTCGAAAAAGCCCAAGACCCCCAAAATCCCAAAACCTCAACACCCAGAGACTCCAAAACCCCTTAATGTTTCGGGTTTAGGAGTCGGGGTCTGGCAACTCATGGCAAGACCTGGCCCTTTCAAACCTTCCTTTTCGGGGCTCCCTCTCATGATTTTCTTACATAAGTCCTTCAACAGGTACCCAGAAACTCCAAAACCCCTTAATTAAGGAATATACCTTAAACTATAATAGGATCCTTAATATGATTTAAGGTATATTCCTTAATTAAGGGGTTTTGGAGTCACTGGGCACCACCCTTGTCCTTTTAGAAATATTAGACAGGGCCCTATACCTATATCCCTTGGTAGGAACTGTTTAAGAAGGTCTACTACGGTCTGTTTATTCCTCTTGGGGGAACCATGAACAAGGACAAGGCTGCTCAAAACCATACCTGCCAGAGTTCAGGGCTGAGTTTAGCTTTAACGGTTGGTATGGGTTCATAGCGAAATCCCAAACAAAAAAACCTTCCCTTAACCGACAAACCCCGTGTACACTCCCCCAGCCTGAACCCCTTAATTAAGGAATATACCTTAAGCTATGTAGGGCTTCATACTATGAGTTAAGCTATATTCCTTAATTAAGGGGTATTGGGATCTCTGTGTAGAGATCCCAAGCCGTAAAGATAAACCCCAACTGTACTCTACACGGGACACTCTGAACCTTACATGACCCTACCCCAACGCAAACAAAAAAAAAAACGGTAACCTTAGATCCAACACGGGGCACTCTGAACCTTGTCTGACCCTACCACAACAACAAAAAAGAAATCGATCCATGATCCCTGACGTCTAAACCTCTCAGTCTCGTGCAGTGGAGGCTTTCGATCGAGGCCCCAAAGCGGGCACCAACTTCTTGGGGTTCAGGGTTCTGAGGTTAGGGGGTTCGGGTTCAAGGTTCAGGGCTCACGCTTAGGATTTTTGGATTTCGGGTGTACCGTTTCCTTTGAGGCCACTGTTGGGGTTTGGAAATTAGAAATCACTTGTTGGACTTAGGGTTTAGGCAGAAAGGCGAGCCAGGGCACTGAGATTTCTCTCCCCCTCCGGGAGCACAGTCGCGGCATCATCCATGGCACTGGCAGAATATAAGTACCTGATCCCTGCACAATTTCGAATCAACGGCCTCCAAAGACATAATCATGACCCTAGATATCAGTACGGCGCCCTACCAACATGGCGAAACGATCCAGGGAATTATGTCCAAACCTGCAAGCCTTTTTGGCTCTCTCCGCCTTGTGAGCTCCCCACTACGGGAACTTCAAGACCTTCAGTAAACTGCGGGAAACGCACTCAAAGTACGACCTTTGCCAGATTTTGGAAGCATTGGAACGACCCGTTCTCTAGTTTTTTGGGCACTCTTCTGGGCCTTCTGGCATCCGAAACAGTCACGGCTGCGAGACGGTTTAGGGCTTAGGGCAAAGATTGCTGAATGCTAGTGCGCGCGTATCACCGTTGAACTTGACCTACTGTTCGATCTAGTTGCAAGCACGTCTCCTCCTCCTCCCGCAGTGCTCCTCCTAGTCATGTCCCACTACTACTTAGAGGATCATGGGACTTAGTAAGTAGGGTTATAAGTACCCCAATTGGGGTAATAAGTAATTATAAGTTATACGTATAGTTACCCTAATTATTAACAGTAGTTACTAATTCCCATGACCCTTTAAGTAGTATTAATCGTCCTCGTCCTACTGGGCTCGAATCTCGAGTTCCGGGTTGTGGTTTTGGGTTCAGGGCTTCCCCAGAGACTCCAAAACCCCTTAATTAAGGAATATACCTTACATGATATTAGGATCCCTACTATAATTTAAGGTATATTCCTTAATTGAGGGGTTTTGGAGTTTCTGGGTCTTTTTCAGTTGACATGCGCCCCTCCTACCTGGATAAGGGTATAGAGTTTCGGGTTTGAGGGTTTCGTGGTGCGGGTTGACTGTTGAGAGCCTGGCTCAAGTAATCTGAACTTAACTATTGCCTAAACCCCAACCTGCATCCCAACACCCTACAGCCCGCAGCCTAAAACCCTCATGCCGGAATAAACCATTGGAGGAGAAAGCAGGAGCCCTCTAATAAGGCTCGTATAGAGCAGTGCAGGTGTACACAACTCGAATATAGATACCTTACAGATCCCTTGTGGATCTCTTGTCGAACCCGTCTAAATCCCTTACAGAGCCCCTTGTAAACCCCTTATCGATTCCTTCTGTCGAACCCTTCTGGCTTTCGAGGAAGCAGATCTATAGATCCCTTGTCGAACCCTTCTAGAACCCTCTCCCTATACACCCTTCTTTCGAACCCTGAAAGATCCCTTTAAAGGAAATAAGGACTTTAAAGGAACCCTAAGCCCTATAAACCCTTATAGATGGTTTTAAGGTTTAGGGTTTAGGCCCTGGTAAAGCCTTATAGATCCCCTTTAAAGGAACCCTTATAGATCCCTTTTAAAGGAACCCTTATAGATCCCTTTTTAAAGGGCTCAGGATCAGCCCTCTCCTTCTGCACCTCCAGGCTCTTCCGAAGGAGGGCGCAGGCCTGCGATTGGGGGTGCACCGGTTTAGGGTTTAAGGCCTTTGGGGCTTTCGGGATTTAGGGTTTAAGTGGTTTAGGGGTTTAGGGGCTTTAGGGGTTTAGGATTTAGGGTTTAGGGGTTTAGGGGTTTAGGGGTTTAGGGTTTAGGGGTTAGGGGTTAGGGGTGTGCCAAGCCTGACGCGCGGCTGCTTGTTTCCCACCCGACCCACCCGAGGTTCGTTGTGTATTCAGGTTCATTTTCTTTTTACATTTCTTTATCATTCAAAAATACAACAAGCACGAGCAAGACGATCCAGATACCAAAATTCGGATCGGTTTTGCATCGCGCGGAAGTTAAGTTGTAGCCGAAGGATGCAACTTAACCTACGCGCAGATGTTTGATAGCGAATATTTGGGAAGTTGCGTATGAGAATTTAATGAGAAGGATATCTGGAACCACTGTGATAACCGCCATCCGATCCACCGCCGTGGAAAATCCTTGGGAATTCTTTGGTCAATGTCATAGATCTCGTGCATCACCACTGCGCATGCATACGGCATTGATGGCGTGCTGACGTTTCAAGCAGGTTTGTTGTCCCTGCTCACAAGTCTTTGTCAGGTGCATGCTTCGTCGCGTCTACAGCGAACGCACAGGGCCTAAGAGGCTTGGCTGCAGACATAGGGGGCAGCCCTGTCTACCCCGTTCCATCAAGAACTCCGCAGCTGTTCCTCACCTCGCGTTTGTTCCGGCGTCCATGCACAGGCTCTGTCCCGAGTACGTTCGTCGTCTGCACCGTCAATTGACGTGACTGCATGCTGTAGACTGTCGCACGAGTTCTTTGCAGGCGCACGCTTCGATCTGTCGCGATTGGAGCGAACGCTCCGGCGGCTTTTGCCGAAGTTCTGTCAGACCCGTGCCCTCAACGACTCCGCAACTGCTCCTCAAGCGACTTTTTCACTTTGCCATGCATGGTACCGTCAAGTCAGTGGGGCTCCACCCCTCAGTTCATGTCGCATGTGGGGAAAATGCCGTCGCAAGTCGTCTGACCTCGAGAAGTTGCATCGACCACGCTGAGAAACCTAAAGCCTTGGCTGGGTTCGGTGCGCTGTCCATGGCTCGGCACCTCGACCGAATCTCTGTGATCAGAACTTGACAGGTACGAACTTCAGAAGGACCATCGATTGCACCAGATCACCTGGCCTTCTGGCTGTCCGGCCCGGTCAGCCGGACCTGCGACGAGCTGACACAGAGCAGTGCAAATGCTGAAGGACATCCACCCACGCCCCGATCCTTCTGATGCCCGAGCTTGAGGAGCCGCCAGTCCTAAGGGGACGACGCGCAATGGTTTCCCCCTCTGCGCGCACATTCCGCAGGGCGCGGCGGTGGCCAGGTCGGGTCGTCGTCGTCGTCGTCCAGCGACCGGGCTTTGGCCAGTGCAAGTTGGTCTGCCTCCTGCTATTCGTAGGGTCTGGCAAAAATTGTTGAAGGAATTCGAAGTCGGTCCTCTGCGTCCGTCTTAGCGGCGGTGCAGACGACTGCAGCCTGCTTGGTATGTGCCGGCGACTCGGAGCACAATACTTCAGCTGTTGTAGGTCTCGCTCCCTTATAGTATTTTCTCGTGGTTCTATAGATTGGTGGCACCTCTCCGGAACGGCTTTAGACCTCTGGTCGGCGCACACTGCGCTAGCTCCCTGTATGTCTTGCTTTTTTTATTATAATAGTCGTTTACAACTCCGTGCGCTACAGCGCGAGCTCGCCGGCACCACTCCAATTTGCTGTTCAGTGCACATGTCCGCCTAGTTGTGAGGCTGGCCGTTTGTCTGTACTTATCTTATTGTGCTTTTCTCGGTCAGTCGGCCTCCACGACGGCATCGTTGAGCTGGTCGCAGTCGATGTCCTGATCGATGTTTTAAGCACATGCTTGCGAGTCGACACCTGTGCACCTCCTCCGGCACCACTTCAAGCGCCTGGCCGGCGCACACCACGTTGGTATAACGAGAGTCTGTCTCTTAGCGTCCTCTACAGTGGTTCTAGCGTAGCGGCGTCTCTACCGAGCTTGGAACCGCGTGACCCGGCTCTAGCTCAGTGTAAGCTTCGGCCTCCTAGTCGTTTACAACTCTGTTTGTTAGAGCCTAGAGCACCAGCTTGCCCGCACCTCGCCCGGCACCTCTCCAAGTTCCTGTTTGTGCACACGCGTGCTTTGCGGGCAGTTGACTCTCTTTACTTATTGCGCTCTCGGTCAAGAACCCCTCGCTTGACCCGCTGTTCTAGCTCAGTGTAAGCATCGCCCTCATAGTCGTTTACAACTCTGAGTCTGTTTAGTAGAGCACCAGCTCGCCGGCACCTCGTCCGGCACCTCTCCAAGTTCCTGTTTGTGCACACGCGTGTTTTGCTGACAGCTAGGGGTTTAGGGGTTTAGGGTTTAGGGTTTAGGGGTTAGGGGTTTAGGATTTAGGATTTAGAGGTTTAGGGGTTTGGGGGTTTAGGGGTTTAGGGCCTTGGGGGCTTTAGGGCCTGATCATGGGGGTGCTCGGGTTTAGAGCTTAAGGCCTTGCGGGCTTTAGGGTTTACAGGGTTTCGGGTTCAGAGCTTTAGGGGTTTAAGGTGTTGGTGTTTTAAGGTTTTAGGGTTTTGGGCCTTGGGGCTTTTGGGTCACTTGGAGGGTCGGGGACCTAGTAAGTAGTTATTCTATAGACTTATAAGTACCATAACCCAAATTAGGGTCCCTTTTAGGGTACTTATAAGTCTACTTCCTACCTACTTACTAAGTCCCCCGAGCCTCCAAGCAGGCTTTACCACGTTTACAAGGGGTTGAAATCTTTCGGCGTTGGCACTTCCAACTTCAGGCTCTTGCGTTTTTGTGGGGTTTTAGGATGTAGGCGTTTAAGAAGGCTCCAGGTCTATTAGGATGTCCTTAAGGGGGGGTGGTCCAAGGGGGGTAGGCAACCTAGTAATCCCCATTATTCCCCAATACTCCCTAAGCTTCCCTAAGGTTCCCCAAAGCTCCCTAGTACCCTCCCCCCTTGAACCACCCCCCCTTAAGGATCCTATAAGGTCTAGGTTCATACTTGGAGGGTCGGGGGACTTAGTAACTAGTTATCTTGGAGACTTATACATACCATAGCCCCGATTAGGATCCCTTTTAGGGTACTTATAACTCTACTTATAACCCCACTTACTAAGTCCCCCGACCCTCCAAGTAAAGCTTCTCTAAGAGGTTGGTAACGATTTCGCGCGGGTTGCAAGGATCGATAAAGAAATGAAACAGTAGAACTATTCCAGACTTAAGAGCCCAGAAAACTTGAGCTTCCCTGGCGCTTGTGAGTTTCTAGGTTTCGAATACTCGGTGATCATACCGGGGTTTCCGAAAATGGGGACCCTCATATTACCCCAAATAGTAGGATCCTGATGATCAGGACCCAAAAGATGAGGTACCCCTTATTTTCGGAAACCCTAAACCCATATAAAGCCCTTTAAAGGAAACCCTAAAGCAACCCTAAGGTACCCCTCATTTGCGGAAACTCCCATGAACATAAAGACTTCAACTGTGTTCACATCAGCCCGAATGAGGCCC